CACCCAGATATAAAATAGTTCTTGAAGGTCTGTGCTTGAATCTCTAGAATCTGTCAAAAAAAGAAAAGAAAAAAAAAGTTAAGGAGTGCACACAGACACGTGTATTTATGTATGTATTTTTGCATTTACCCACACATAAACACGCACATGCATACATATGAGTATGTATTTATATATGTATGTATGTATATGTATGTAGGTCTAGACACACACAAACTCACACACACTCTTACACTCTCTCACTCTCTCTCTCAACTCTGTACCCGTGTTGTATGGTGACCCCATTCTTTTTTTGGGGGGAGAGGGAGAAGGGGATAGCATTATATAAAATATTAATATACACAAACAAAGAAACAGACATATATAGTGGTGTTTGGGACATTTGTAATGACACTACAGCATAAGGTCATTAACAAAAAAGTAACTTTTTTTGTTAGGGTTGGGATAACATTCAAGAAAGTAAGATACAATTCATATCCCATGGGTTTCTCTCTTGCACTTTTCCCTTCCTATTTGTATTTCAAAGAAAGCATCCTATTATGCTGCCAGACAACATACTCGACAGCAGACTACTCTGCACCTCTGAGTTTGATTCTCCTATCCACACAAGGCCTTGGCTCTTCATTACTCTGCTCTAGGCCACTCTAACATGTTGAACACTTTTCTTCTCCATGTCAATTCTTAACTCTTCAACTCCCCAGGTATTGGAAAAAAAAATATAAGACTTATATTTCACATATTTACTATACAAATTTAATATACAATATTATATTTACAATATCTCTATTCACATGTTTGGTGTCTGACCGGAGAAAAGAAAGTATAAAAGTAATTTACCTTTTAGCAATGGCAAAATCAAAGGCGTAATATTATATCTCCAGGGCTTCAACTGGCATAAGCAAGTTAAAAAAAAAGAAGAAGTGATAATGAACATTCCATATGAAATTTACAAAAGGGAAGCTAGATTAAATTCCTTTCTTACAATTCTCACAGTAAACTTTCACCCACTCCAAAATCTTATTACTTAGCTTCTTGCAGTTTGCCAGAATGGATCTTGCTCAATTTTCTCATTTTCTGGACCAATGAGGCATGCCCCTTCTATTGATGCATCCCTGAGATAACTGCGAGCTACTCTCACTAGGTCCTGAGGTGTTGTATCCAAAATCTGTCTCCTATGGTCAGCAAAGAGTTCCTCTGAGACATGAGAAAGAAAGAGGCGTTTCCCCTTTGCTGCAGGAGCCACAGGGGCGTCAACAGCCTGAAACACCCCTAACTTTGCTTCTTCAACATCTCTCTCACAGAACCCACCTGATAACACCCACTCCACAGCTGCATCAAAAGTGGATAAGGTCTGAGTTGAGTTGGGATCTCTGTAGCTATAAAAAGAAAAGTTTCCACCTGGAGAATAAGCAGCCCCACCACCATAAGCCCCTCCTTTTTCTCTGATCTCCCTGTGCAAGAAACGGAACATCAGACGAGACAGCACACGTAGAGCTCCACTGTCTGAGTGAGCGTAAGGGACTCCTGCATAGGCTTTTGATGCAAAATTTACTGGGAATGGAAATACATGATGTGTTCTTGATGTGTGAGGGGTGTAGGAATCAGTTAAATTTATCAGAGAGGATTCACGACTTGGATCTCCTGCAAGATTACCCAAGAAATTTTCAAAGGTTTTCATAGCACCATCATGATTATCTGGTGACATGTTGACAGACACTCTCATCTGCTCTCGATTTAGTAGCAGCTGAGCCAGTTCTTGTAGCTTCTCAAGAACCTCACCTGGATCCTCCAATTCACTGAACTCTTTCATTTGTCGAATATTTGTCAATCCACTCCACTGTTCACTGAGAGCTGCAACATAACTTGTGGATGATGATGCAGCAGTCATAGCATATCTGTGACCAGAATATACTAAACTGTTTGCTTGATCTGTCGCAATCATCTTGACTAATGTTCCAAACCTCTGCAAATCATCCAGTTTAATATGATTTAATATTAATGTCCATAGATCGAGCATGCGGGTCAAATTATTATCTAAGCAGTGAGAGGAAAGGAGAATTCCCTGTTCATACTGTGCAACATCAATAGGGTGTTTGACAAGGTGGGTAGCAGCATGTAGACCTCCAGTTGACAACTCTATCTCTTGGTCAAGCTGGCGGAAATCCAAGTCACCTGCACCCATTCGTGTAAGGACCCCACACAATAATGGTACTAATGAGTGGAGATGATCAGGAATGTTGTGGGTGTTGAGGACTGCAGAGAAGTATGTAATGCCATTAGTAGGCTGATGGCATATTTGAACTGGCACTCCACCAGAAAGGCTGATGTTAGTTACTGGTGTGGGAATGATGTTACGGTTAATGTCTGATACCTTCAGAGTTGGCAGACATGAGATATCCTCCTCCTCTTCTTGCTTCTTAGTTAGTGTATTTCCAATCTCCCAAATCCTCTTCCGATCTTCCTCTGTAAGTGATTCGATCTTGCCTTTAAGAAGCTCAAT